GTCAATTGTACATTAAAATACATTAAAATTACTCAATTAATTTTAATTAAAACAAACTAAATAATATCCTACGAGTCACAATTCCCCACAATCCTTGCCACAGAGCAAAACTGTCGGCAGCAACCTCTATCTACTCTTTATAACACGTCGCATTTTGACGTATATTTTACCCAAGGCCAAAAAATGATGTACAAGAAAAGGGTAGCGGCTCGCGAAATTGATCATAATGTCCCGTTTTCTGTCCATGGGATCTCTGGTAGGTTAGGTTAGGACACGTTAGTACAAGTCTCTTGATGTTGGGAATGCTGGCGAGAATGGTGACGAGTACATGGTCAACTGCGTCATTGATAGTTCAGTTGTTCCTTGCCATAATTTATGGCTTGGCGCTTTCCCAGGATAATTCCTCCCCCCCCCCGTCCCTGTCATAATTAACGACAGGTATACCATGAAGGTTTTACAGTTAATGTACTTTCGGAAGCTATTGTGTAAACTCACCTACCCAAAAGAGTTGGACACAAGTCACTTCGAACACAAGACGGTTCGCTAGCGGATTTTAAAACCAACCTAAACAAACCCAAACCAGCCAAATCTAAGCCAATACATCCTAACCTGACTATATATACGGTTTTGGCAAGCAGATAAGGAGTTTTGTTGAACCGTCTTGGATACGATTTGACCATACCCGAAATGAATTAGCACATCAGGTTAATACCATGGTATTTTGCAGAGGGCAAACACTGCTTACTTCAGATAGTAAACAAAACTAGTTTATTACCGAGAAAAACAAGAATAGACCGTATAATTTACCACGGGGAGAAAAACCAACATTATGAAGGACAGTAGGGAGCAAATGATTAAATAATTTAGGCCACAGATGGTGGTAAAGGTTACTATATATTCCATATATCACTAGTGATATATGGGCCAGATATATATAATGTACACTAATATATATTATATTTTGGTAGCAATAATTTTTTATACATTTCGTTGAAAGAGACAGAAAGTTTGAAATTTATGATTCTGGCAACCTTTAGTTAGTTCGTATTTATGCCTGGTATACAGGTACCAGACCCTAATATATGGTTATTACTACAGTCTACCACTATTACTCTCACTTTCCCAGCGCTCAATAGTGATCTGCAGTACCTGAAGAACGTATATTTTGCCACCGGAGAAATATATAGTCCAAGTAAACCATGTAAATCAAAGTTTGAGTGGCTATAAAGAGCGAAAGGTGTTTATTAGCCGTGTAAACTATTTACAACTAATCTAGATAAATAATAATAAATAAACTAAACTAGCCTATCATGAAAGTTTATTAACCGTCTTTTTTATCATTTTTAAAGTGTATGCGGGGCTCTCTAATCTCAGGCTAATATTTTCATTTTTTCAACCGTTCGAATCCCTGGTGCGTCCCCATTTAGACTATCCAAACATGGAGATCTAATCTTCAGAAGGACACATATCTGTTTTGAAGAAAGTACAACACAGAGCGACAAAAAAATTCTCTACTGCTTAAATGCAGGCTCCACAGAGGACGTGAGGTATTGTTCGGGGTCCACTGAAATATTCACAGCTGTTTTATTCGCACAAGTGGTCTTGGCGGCCATATTGGAAAATCTTCTCATTAGAAATGTGTTCCCAGACCAAACATTATTCCTAGGCATGAAGGAAACATGTTGTGGAGAGAACAGCTGTACTCACTTCCATGTGTTGGTCTCCACTGTGGCCCCTACAGGGCTTGGGACTCTTTGTTCTGCAGAGAAAATAATCACCGCTCTCTTTCAATTGTTTTCAGTCCTGCAATGCAATTCTGGAAGTCATTTATCCCTTGTTTAATTTCTCAAAGTTCTCGTGTCTTCAGGTGAGCAGAGCTACTCCTACTGCTCTTTTATTTTTGTCCTACTCCTTTGTGGGTGGCCGTGTCGTGTGTAGTTGTATAGTGCGTTATTGTGCGTATAGTGTATAGTGCGTATAATGATAGTGCGTATGGGGGTTATGTTGCGTGGGGCTGATGCCATTTTTCTCTTCAGATGTAATAGACAGTATCGTTGTGTAGAGTATTTGTATTCAGCATCTCCCTGTAGACAGAGTCATGGGTGCCAGTTGTCAACAAAGGCATTGATTGTAACACAATGTTACAAGTGTGTGCGCATTATTCACCTTCAGGGGGGTCTGACAGTTGAGTGGTCAGCGCTTCAGATTCGTAGTCCCGAGGTTCCGGGTTCGATCACCGGTGGAGGCGGAAACAAAATGGGCAGACTTTCTTTCACCTTGATTCCCCTGTTACCTAGCAGTATATAGGAACCAGGGAGTTAAGCAGCTACTACGGGCTGCTTCCTGGAGGGTGTGTAACAAAGAGGAGGCCTGGACGGGGACCGGGCCGCGGGGACGCTAAGCCGCGAAATCATCTCAAGATAACCTCACTGGAATTTTGACATGCATGAAGATAATAGGTACCAACCAAGACTGTTCAGGCAGTCATCCCAACACGAGTACCAACAAATAAAAACCACAGTTCTTTTTTTCACTTAAAAGGATTTTATTTGAAATATAATATTATAAAGTAGATAGAACACATTGCAACATAATAACTTAAGCTCTATAAAATACAGATCTAATGTAAAATCAATATTTGCGTACAAAATAGTTCATTGTCGTTATGAAAATATATACGTTCAGGTTTGAACATGCACAGGTTTTTCAATAAAGACGATTCTACGTTAAAATTTATGAGGTGTTTAATCCTGCTCCTTGTCCTTGTATCCCAGCTTGTTGTCCTCATAGCCTAGCTTCTTATCCTCATGTTCCAGGTTTTTGTTCTCATATCCCAGCTCCTTGTCCTCAAACCACAGCTCCTTATCCTCATATCCAAGCTTCTTGTTCTCATATCCCAGCTTCTTGTCCTCATATCCCAGCTTCTTGTCCTCATATCCCAGCTTCTTGTCATCATATCCCAGCTTCTTGTCTTCAAACCACAGCTCCTTATCCTCATATCCAAGCTTGTTCTCATACCCCAGCTTCTTCTTCTCATACTCCAGCTTCTTGTCCTCATACCCCAGCTTCTTGTCCTCATATCCCAGCTTCTTGCTCTCATATCCCAGCTTCTTGTCCTCATATCCCAGCTTCTTGCTCTCATACCCCAGCTTCTTGTCCTCATATCCCAACTTCTTGTCCTCATATCCCAGCTCCTTGTGTTTAATCAGTCAAGGTGTATCGAGTAACACACGAGGGCATATTTAACATTAATATAAATAGCTTGAATGTGTGTTCCGGACAGAGATTAGACTCAAACTGATGTGGATCTCCCTTATATTAGACGATGCACTTGCTAGTCTGTCAGTAAACTAAGACAATTTATATAATCATGAACGATCAAACAAAGAGTCAACAGACTTGTCATCTGAAAATGACTCTGGTGAAGTGTCATTTTCAAATGCACTTGGTGAAGTGCATTAAACAAAACACTCAAGTGTGACTGGGACCAAGAACACCAGCTTGCTGGCTAATGTTGTCACAACTCTTAACGCAACTTGGTTATCAGCATCTCTGGCAGTTTAACTTGTATGGAGAAATAAGATCCAATTAAACGTTAAGTGTGTGAACAAAGAAACACATTAGATTCACAGCATTAGATTCCACACTGTGTGGACAAAGAGATACATTAGAGCATTAGATTCCACACTGTGTGGACAAAGAGATACATTAGAGCATTAGATTCCACACTGTGTGGACAAAGAGATACATTAGAGCATTAGATTCCACACTGTGTGGACAAAGAGATACATTAGAGCATTAGATTCCACACTGTGTGGACAAAGAGATACATTAGAGCATTAGATTCCACACTGTGGACAAAGATATAAACACACACACACACTAAAGTATTACAATTTACACTGTGTAGAAAAGCACATAAGATCATTAATCCTACACTGTGGTAAGGCACACTACATTATATTTAAAAATTAAATACCTGAAAGTCTTTTTTTTAGTGTTTTCACATTTTGATTCTAATACACAAGAAAACTTTGAAAAGAAAATAAATGTCTTGTATATTATTGTCAACTCTGCGTCATTGCAACACGTCAATTTCTATATAATATCCAATGATGAAAATCTCAAAGGAAGAATATTGGGTGCACACACTACCGCTCGCAGATTGAGTGCACAGCAAGCTACCTTTCACAGGATGAGTATATGGTGTACAATAAACTACTCATAGGAGGAGTATAGAGTGCACAGTAAACTACCTCTCACAGGATGATTATGGGGTGAACAACAAACTACTGTTCACAGTAAATCTATTTTTCCCATTTTCAAATTATAGATATCCATCGGCTGCTGAACTTTTGTTAAATTATATTATTATATTTATATCTGGCAATCAAAATGTTTATATTACGGTGCCATGAAAATATAATGCCCATGAACATCCATGAAGTGTGAGGTACGTCTAGTATCTACCAGACCACGAAGACACTGTTGACGACATCAGAGGCAGTGTGAGGTACGTCTAGTATCTACCAGACCACGAAGACACTGTTGACGACATCAGAGGCAGTGTGAGGTACGTCTAGTATCTACCAGACCACGAAGACACTGTTGACGACATCAGAGGCAGTGTGAGGTACGTCTAGTATCTACTAGACCACGAAGAAGGCATGAAGCGCTGTGTATCTTTGAGCAAATTAACCCAGTGTTGTGTCACATCAGTAAGACCAATTTCCTGTTGTGGAAAAATCTGTATTGAAGACTTCATTCACAAATAAATTTACAAACACAAAAGTTTTAGCCTTTCCAAATCAGCTGGTAAGACTAATCAAAATCTTTGAATAATGTTATTCGTCGTATAGTGAGAGAAATATAGCTTCATAATTGCCTTTCTGATATATAATCAGAACATTCTGAATTGTATATATTACGTTAAATATAAGGTAAGAGATACAGAATGTAGTTAGTACAGATTTGTCTTCCTAGTTGATGGGAATATTTACCTTGAAATCACAAGACATGCCTGAAACTACGGTAAAAGTTATTGTTGCAGTAATGAGCCGTTTAATGCCATTACTGTTACCTGGTTGGGAAGCCGGCGTCGAGTTGGACGTGATGCTCTGTATGGGAGTAACAGTTGTCACTGAGCTTGCTTTTCTCCTCTGTCTCGACTCGACGCCCAGAAGGACCAAGTCCACCAAGAACTCTAGAATCTCCGCGATGGTGACCAACGACATGCCGATGAAGAGCCCCAAGTTGCCTCCGAAGTTCGAGACGAGGGTGTCCCACTGTCAGGGTAGGAGGGGGAAGAGTTCCTTGTGTTTTTAACAAAACTTTCGTGGGATTCTGTCCCTGGTACGATTATGTGACACATTTTTTTATTAGTCAATAACATATTCTTAACGTCAGTGATCATTCAGTCTTGAGTATGTTCCCTCTGTGTGTGTGTGTGTGTGTGTGTGAGGGCGTCCACATGTGCTAGTAGTGTTTGCAGGACCGAGATTCAGCTCCTGTACCATACTTTTCTAGTCTATTAAACAGTTTACGCGCTTTGGTGCCCTGCGAGGTCATTCTCGACTCAAGGTTACTATTCACACAGACAACCTCGTAGTGGTTCGGAGCTTGTAAACTCTTTGTTTACATTTATTAAAGCCGCAATGGTTGAGAAAAGGTGTACAAGTCTCTCTAGAGGACAAGCTCGAGTTTACATATCCTTAGATGATGTCGTTTTCAAATTCCTTTTCAGGATATTTTCGTTCTCGGGTTGTCATTTCTGGCTCTCATGTTTTATTATGTGGTCTTATATTTCTTGCCCTTCACTTCGTGTAGGGTTGCCAATCCCAGATCTGTTGGCTGTACTACGCATTCTGTTCCTTCTCCTCACTCATCTATGTTTGTAGCGATGAAATTGCATTATTTTGCTAGGAAGGTTGTGTTCACTGGGGGGTTGAGCTTCATCTCATACAGAGCCGTTGGACGTCTCAATAAGGACATTGATCCTCCCGGAACAATCACAGGTTCCAGAGGCAGAGGTACAAGGTAGCCAGACTTGTCATTAATATTTACAGGGGTCCTGGGAAGCCCCCTTGTATCTGTCAGAGGTCTGAATAATGACTTGCGATAATCCTTATTCACACTGATACAACTCAGTAGTTACCTTGTACAACCTGGCCCACTACCTCGTTCCACTTTGTGTTCCAGTGCTGGAGAAATGTTCTTTTCTCTCTAATTTTTGTATTAATTTTGCTCAGTTGAGTATAAAATATCTATCAGCGAGTGTTTGCTCATTTTTTACTCATGTTCGTCAGTTTTTTCCTCCACTTTCTTTATGAGAGTAACTTTTATGCTGCAATCATGTCCCCTCTGGTTTTCCTCTATCCAGCGAGACTACGGCTCAGTTCTCATAGTCTGTTTTCATAATCCAACCCTTTTATTTCTGGCACTAGTCTTGTGGCAATAAATTTGTTATGTGCTGGTTCCATGTTGGGCTGCATACTACACCAATGGTCTCGTGTAGGTACTAAACAATACTTGTTCACATTCATGCTACCTCGGTCTCATTCACTCTTTTTCTCATTTATGCCTCCACGTTTTCCAGTAATACAAACATTTGCGAGAGGGAACTTACTGATAGGGAAGGACTCTCCTGAATGCTCTGGTAAGAGAGTGAATCCAGGTACAGGTGGATGCGAACGGTTCCAGTTTCGTTTCTGTAACAGAAAACTTGCTTTAGTGCCACCACACAATTATGAATAATTTTTTTAATGCGAAAATCTACCACGTGCTGCTGCTGATGTCTGTGACACAGTGTCAAGAGATATTCATTACAGTGGGTTGGGCACCCTTCCTTCACCCTGTCCCATCCCAAATCCTTATCCTGACCCCTTCCCAGTGCTATATGGTCGTAATGGCTTGGTGCTTTCCTCCCCTGATAGTTCCCTTCCCTTCATAACAGTGGGCGGCCACTCACCCGCACAAGTCGTCTCCCATCTTCCTTTTCAGACGGTCCTGGATGATGGTGTAGAATTCTTTATTTTCGGCCGATGTTGTCACTTGACTTTCATAGACAGTTTCCCTGTGGACGTGAGAGTATGCTGTAGGATCTGTGTATATGCATTCAAGGCATCGTTAAGCTCTTTTTATTGGTTGTATCTATTGTTTATTTGATTTTATTTATAACTTTATTGATGTAGATGGGTTACAACATTGGTTTGCAAACAAATCTAGTAAGTTTCGTTACAAGCCTAGAAAGTTTTAACGCAAACCTAGTAGGTTTGAATACAAGCCTAGCAAGTTTGAATACAATTTTTATTACAAGCCTAGCAAGCTTGAATACAAACCTAGCAATTTTGAATACAAGCCTAGCAAGTTTGAATACAAGCCTAGCAAGTTTGAATGCAATCGTAGCAATTTTGAATACAAGCCTAGCAATTTTTATTACAAGCCTAGCAAGTTTGAATACAACTTGCAACTTGCCTAGTAAACACAACTCTAGACAATGTGGAAAACTCACGAGCAGGCTGGTGGACAGTCACAGGTGAGAATCCCACGCTGGTAGGAGAACAGCGCAATGTCCATACACAGTTCTGAAGAACACAAGAACACCATTAGGCTCTTATCTCCGACTCAACTTTCTTCTCCGAAACCAGCTCTTAATAATGATACATATATTTAATTTCTATTATTTAATATGTGCTATTGATCACTTTGGTACAGTCACAAGATACACAGTGATGTACTTTGGCTGATGTTGAACTGATTGCAGGGCTCGGCTGGTTTGGGGGGGCTCTTGCTCTCGTAGGCAGGATTGCTTCCCTGGTAGCATTGACAGGTGCGCCAGATCTCTCGCTCCACACACATCTTCTTGCAGCGCTGTTCAGTCAAAATTTGAAGTGGGTTTTGGCAAATTTGAAGCAGTTTTTGCTTAATTCGTAGAGAGTTGACTTTCAAATTTTAGCATATGAAAGTTGAGAATTGTTTAAGGGTGACACAAAAGGACCAGTGAACTAGCTGCAACAAGGGATTGAGTGAAGATGTCTAGAGTTGCAACAAAAAGTCGAATGATAGTGTTCTGAGCTGCACAAGTTGCTAATTGAATGCATCCTGAGCGTTGAGTTAATCTGAGCAACACAAGGCATTGAGTTAAAACGTTGTCTTGCTAAGGATACATTTAGTTAATGTACTGTACAGAAGAAGAGACCACGCCACACGCCTTTCTCACGAGAGCAAGATTGTCAACAAAGGATGATACTCACAATGGACGAGTACTCAGTGAAGTTAGCAGAATCTGACTCTGATTGGCATGTTCCGTGTGGTGGACCCACCCTCTCCAGCTTCGTCTGTAATGCAGTTTATAAAATGTTATCTCTATATGTAATTTATTATACGCTTCTGCATTACTAAACATTCTGTTACATAACACGTTTAGTCAGAAGAATAATAAAAATGTAGTTTATTAAATATTAGACCAAGTGCTGACAGAGTGAAACAGACATAATACAATATACAAGGAACGTCTTAATAATAACGACTTCTTATAAATGGATCATTTAATGTAGTTGAAGGGGAACTGGACAAGAATCGGTTTAGGAAAGAAACTCTAATATGACATAAGAAAACTACACTGGATCTAAGACCTTTTTCTTAAGAATTGGAGTAATGTTATGAAACAGGGTGGTAGACTGAATGTGCGCTAGTGTGTGTCTCCGAGCTCACGTACCCACTCATTCAAAAGCCATATTGTTTATAGATCCTAACCGTTATATATTCAAGAAGTTATATTTTATATGGCGACAGTGGTCACTTTTACAGTTCTCTCGCCAGTCAGTTCACTTCAGTTAACATAAAGGACCAAAAACGGTATATTGAAACCCCCGCCAACTCCAACCCCTGAGCTAACCAAACAGACGCACGCGTAGAAAACGGGCTGTTGGGGAGCCGCTATAATTTGTCTGGTGAGGATTTTGGCATCAGAATACAATGTATTATTTGAGAGGACAGATTGCTCTCACACTGGTTATCTTGGCATATATTCTGGTATCTGAAGAACCACCAATCTCAGTACTGTGCATCCATACTGTCCATAATGTCATTTTGATATACCAGTTTAGCTGACTGTAATTGCGGAAACGCTGATCTGATACTGGCCCTCCTCAGTGTCATATTAGTCACACTGTCTTATACTAACTCACCCTACTGACTTTGATGGAATTAATGAAGCCAGGGGAGACGTTGAAGCCCTCATCCTCTGGAAAGGGCAGCTGGTAGGGGCTGTGGACGATCACCCTCAAGCCCACCTCTTGTGACAACAGCGCCAAGTATTTGTCCTTATGGATGTTTACTGTCAGCCGGAGACCATTCTGGAGGACGGACAATGATCATGTATTGAAACTCATCCTCCAAAAGTTATTTGACTTATAGCAACTCCTTGAAGAACGTACAAAACTTAGAACGTAGAATTTAGAAGTTACTAATAATGAAACTCTACAACAGTTGCTTAGCCCCTGGGTACTTATTTTTTTACTGCCAGGTGTACAGATGAAATAGGTGAAATTAAACGTGCCCAACACTTATGTCCCTTCCGGTATTTGTATCCGAGATTCCCGTTTGTGAATCGAGAACGAATTAAGCCAGCTGGGCGGTAGGCTTCGATAGGCTACCGATAAATAGGCAACTTTCCACTACCGAGACCCCTAACAATTTGTATTGTGAATTTCCCCCACACACACCGAAAAATGGTACATTAAGGTTTAGGAAAGTCCCTCGTCACACTCAACTCACGGTGGGACCAACTAAGGAGGTCTTCTTGAGCGGTGCTTTGATCTCGGTTTTGTTTTTGAGTTGAACCTTGCGGAAGACAGAGTTATAAGTGTAGCACATGCCGTACCTGTCGCTGACCCACTCGTGGAATTGTCTAATGTGGAGGAAATCAAATACAATAAAGTTACAATCAGATAAAAATTAACTATTATATATCTACAGATATATGTAGATATATTATAGTTTAATATAATTATTACTTACGTAATAAGAAAGAAAATTATATCAGGGACAAAAAATACATTCTAAATGGGTGTAGAACCAGGCATCATGATGACAATGAAACGAAAACAATAACCTACAGCGGTGTGGTTTTGATACATGAAGCAATAACATTAATTCAAATAGTATTCGCATGAAATTTAAATTGAAAAACCATAAGCTTACAACAACTTTAATAAGAACACTTTGTGAAGGCCTCTCCTCATATTATAGCTCACTAACAGTGGAGAATATTCCTACAACAAAATGCTTGGCATTCGCCTCACTGAGCCCATTATTTGTCTCTGTAACACTTTTCACAACCACCCACAAGATGGGTATGGGGTGCATGATAAATGAACTAAACTAAAAATTTGCATGATTGTATAAAGACTTATTCCATGTCTTAAGTCTTCCATACCGAAAGAAGCCTAAAGAGAGCTGTCTGCATGCATTCAGCCTGTTCTCCCAAGGTTCCCCAATGTCAAGAAAACTGTCAGTCACTTTTGCGAGCCTTCCATTATCTAGTACGAAGCTTTTTGGCCGTATGTAACGCATACGATCGAAATGCGACGTAATTTGTAAAAGGACAGGTTTTCGCAGCAGCCTACTCACCTATACGAGCAGGGACGCTGGTCGTGACTACAGATGTTGATAAAGTCCTTGGGTTCTACAGTAAAATTTTCAATGTTTCTGTCATTAGGCGTGTATATAGCCATGACGTCGAAGAAATCTGGCGAATGGCTGTTGTTGAAGACTCTTATCACTTCGTCCATCGTCGTCTCCGTATCTTCCCAAGCAAGGAACTCTGTGATGGTTTATACAGCTAAGCTTTCCACAGTTCATATCTATACATGTAAGCGTTATTAATTTATTTATAACTAGATAAGGTGCTGGCAGTACGCGGGTAAACACGGTGAGAAGGACTGCCCGGTGAGCGGGAAGACCCCGGCACCATTCCACCAAAAACAGATTAAATGAATATTATTGAGAAATAGGTATAGTTAATGAGACCATATACGGCATCTCCAGTGTATATCAAACATCCCGTTCTCTCTCTCTCTCTTTCTCTCTCTCTCTCTCTCTCTCTCGTCGGCGTCATACCATATTTGTGTTTCAGTCTCTTTCGCTCTGTTTCTGTCGCTGTGTGGATCTGTATGTCTCTATATCTGTGTCACTTTCTGTTTATCTCTTTTTCATCTTTGTATGTGTTTCTGTATTTCCTATTTGTCATTACTATTTATGCCTGCAGGCTCGAGTTGTTAGCTCTTGGACCCCGCCTGTTTAACCGTCAATTGTCTAATGAACTGACTCCTATGTTACACACACACACACACACACACACACACACACACACAGTGGGACATGATAATGACGTATAAGATCCTAAGGGGGAATTGACAAAGTATACAAATCAGCATTGTTTAAAACTAGAAACAGCAGTGATTCAAAGTTTTAAATGTAAATATAATAAAAGCGTGAGAAATGAGACATTGCATCAATCTAACAACGTTCGGAAGGCGGGGCCAGCAGTGTAATGCTCACACACACATCAAGAGCATATCAGTAGCATATGCTAGGTTGGCCACCATAAAAACTGCCATTAGAAACTTATTTAAGGAATTATTTAGAGCCTTATATACATATATCAGACCAGGCCTGGAGTATGCAATTCCAGCGAGGAATCCGTATCCATTCAAGCACAAAACTAAATAGGGACAGGCTCAAAAGTATGCCACCAGATTAGTACCCAAATTGAAGGGTATGAACTACAAGTAAGAGACAACGGGAAGTGAACCTCACGTCGCTGGAAGAAAGAAGAGTTAGGGAGAGATATGATCACCACATAAATTCTCAGAAGAATTGATAGAGTAGATAAAGACAGTCTATTTAACATAGGTGGTACATGCACAATTTAAGGGGACACAGGTGGAAGCCGAGTATCCAAATGAACCATAGAGACATTAGAAAGAATATTTCTAATGTCAGTAGTTAGTAAATGGAATGCACTAGGCAGAGATGTGGTAAAGGCAGACCCCACAGTGTCAAAAGAAGAGCCGAATAGGCTCAGGAATCTGTAAACCAGTTGATTGACGGTTGAGAGGTAGGGCCAAAGAGACGAAGCCCCCCCCCACCCCACGAGCACAACTAGGTGAGTACACTCACACTATGTTTCGGCAGAATTCTGGATTACAGCAATGGAATGCAGCAAGATTTGCAATTTTCTAGAATAAATAATTCATCAGAGGCATCATAATGGCTTGGTAGCAAAGTGCCACAGTGTGACGTTACGTTGCGTGATAGACAAGGAACACGGCTGTCAACTTTGCTATCAACAACTATCTTTATTGTCTTCTTATATGTGCTGTCAATCTGTTGTAAGGTGTCTATTAATCTTGTTTAAATTACCAATCAAGTTGTCAGTGTAATCAATCAGAGCTTTAATATACCAGTGTGCTTTACTATACTTACTAATCTCTCTCATCTCATTTTTTTCTTGCAATGTATCTGTTATCATTTTTTTAATTCTGCTAGAATTTACCTACTTAAAATTATCTGTTAGATTAAGGACGTGCCCGAAACGCTGCGCGTACTAGTGGCTTTACAAGATTGTAAATACTATGCTATGTATTCTCTCTAACCCAACGTACCTTCTTGTATATAAATAAATAAAAATAAAAATAACTGAATATTGCGTCGTCACCCAGAACAATAAAATATACGTTTTCTCTTATTCAGCGAGTAATTCCCTTTTTCTTTCACATGACAAATAAAGCATAAACTTAATTAAAAAATGCATTCACATGGCGTTTATAAAATTTTACTGTACTTTTAGGATAAAAAAAGACTGATATAAATGACAATGGGAGTAATGCTTACCGGAGATTAGCCAACACTCATCGGAGCAAGATGAGCAGTAGTATTCCGCTGTGTTATTGTACCCCATAGTCTTGCTCATATTGAATTCTGTAACAAAAAAATATATATATATAAATCACTTTTCGAGAATACTAAAATGCGAGTTTTTGAGTGGGTCAGTTGTTGACTAAGACAAGATGCAACAATAGGTCCCCCGGGCATGACCTCTAGATGAAGCAGGGGTAAGAAGGTGCTATAGACATTGTACAGGATCTCTTAACCGCTCGACCAACACGAGGGATCCTGTACGCCAGCAGAGTGCTCCTGGCAGTATGGGTTCGAGTCACTTCTGGGGTGTGAGTTTTCAGTTGCGTATAGTCCTGGGGACCATTCAGGCTTGTTCGCATATATATATATATATATATATATATATATATATATATATATATATATATATATATATATATATATATATATATATATATATAATTTATTCTCAAGGGAGACAGGTGACTGACGCAACACGCCGTTGATACTAGTGAGAATTTGGCTGTATTAGGTTACTTATTAGTAAATGTGAATTCCTAGTACAATAAATCTATTATTATCGCACTAGGGGTTAGTATTTGGGTGTCGGAAATTTCCGACATGTAAGATTGTCAGTCTGCAGTATTTTTAAGATAACTTTTAACTCATTTTAAATATGTTTTTCAATAATATTTGATAGAGGGAGGCAGTACTACCTGCTATGTCTTTTTTTTATATTATAATCTGGGTTAGTTTTCAATGAATAAAAAGAATGCTGATATTATAGCAAGTCTTAAAAAAAAGTTGCGCAAAACACTATTAAAGTGTTGGCATTAATCTTAAGAAAATACCAAGGAGTGACAAGGGGATGAGAGGCGTGATGCTGGGGTAGTCAAGCTTATCATAGAGATAACAACAGTTAGCTTCCCACCTTTGAGGTTGATATCGAAGCAGCCGAAGATGTCGCAGAAGACCATCACTTGACACATGATGTTGTAGCTGATGTCTATGGTGTAGTTTGCTGCAGAAAAGGTTTGATTAAAAACAACCTCTCAATCAGGAGAGGGGAAGTTGGCCAAGTAAGGGGAACTAGGTAGCATTTGATGAGCTACTCTTAAATGATTGGAGATAGTGTGAACGTAACGATACTTCGCTTAAAGCTTAACTGCTCTACTTAAGCTGGGAATGTTTATTTATCATTAATTGTAAAAAAATACTTGATGGCAGAGTGGTAGGTATACACAATAATTAGTGTGAACAGAACACAGGGATATTTACATGCAACTGGTGAGTACTATCATGGAAATACACACATCAACAGGGAAATACACACATCAACAGGGAAATACACACATCAACAGGGAAATACACACATCAACAGGGAAATACACACATCAACAGGGAAATACACACTGTTACGTTAATTAAAATACTGCGGTTATACCCAGCTGATCGACTGCTAAACACAACATATAACAACACAAAGCCACATTTACGTCAATGTGATTATGAGTTAACAGGATTAATGTCAAAAATAAAAAAATAAAAACACACAAAAGAGTCACATGCCACCAAAACAGCCACATGATAAGAGAAGGCCACATGCCACCAAAACAGCCACATGCCACACACAAAACCCAACATACCATTACGACATATGTCTTGGTTGGAGTCAATAGAGTCAAGAGGCGTGTCCTCGTCGACGGACTCGTCCGTGTTGAGGTGAGTCAGGTACCTGTAGTAGCCTTTAGTGCACTCCATCCTTATCTTCTTTACTGTTAGTTGAACACAAATATCTACTTTTATTTCTATATACAAGAGTTCTTATATTCTTGTACAGCCACACATAGCGTTTCGGGCAAGTCCTTAATCCTAATTTTCACACACACACATCCCCAGGAAGCAGTCCGTAGCAGCTGTCTAACTCCCAGGTACCTATTTATTGCTAGGTAATAGGGGGAATCAGGGTGAAAGAAACTCTGCCCATTTGTTTCTGCCGTAACCGGGGATCGAACCCCCGTGTCATAGGATTACGAGTTTCAAGCGCTGTCCACTCAGCTACCAGGCTCCAGGTCGACCAGTGGCTATAGGTGAGAGTATTGACGTCTAAATCTAGATAGAATTCAAGTCTGAAGCGTCCTAGACGAGCCAGCTGTATTACATAAGACTTATTAGGAAGACTTGGACTCACCTTTGTCATTCGTCAAGGAGGACCCGCGAGTTTTACTCATCAACATGTCCTCATTAGCCTGTGGGGAGAGTGAGTAGTGAGTAGGGATTGTTGAAGTGGAAGGTGGGATGGGTGAGAGGGTAGGAGGGATGGGTGAGTGGATAGGAGGGATGGGTGAGTGGATAGGAGCGGTGGGGGTGAGAATATTGAAGTAAAGGGAAGGAGTAAAGGGAGAATGAAAGTAAATCAGAACACGTGAGGCAGAGGAATAAGGAGGCTGAGAAACAGCAGGGTGAACCATCGCGCAGTTCGAGAAGCTGAAACACACTCAGAACTGAAGCTGCAGCTTAAACGTAACCAATCAAAGCTTCATATTACTATATTTCTAACGTCTGCACGATTTATCAGCTTATTAAAACCTCTACTGTCACAACTTCCATTTTATTGTTTTAAAGACGCACCTTACATCTATGCTCACTAGCATGCAATACCAGGAATATAATACGATAATTTTTTGGGAGTAATTGCTAACGCTGAACTCGTACAGTAAGACAAACTTGCACTCTGAACAAATGTGTGTGTGTGCTCACCTTTGTGAAGTTCTCGAAATCCATGAATTGAATCATCTCCCGAGGTGTCGTCTGATTACCTCCAGAAATCGACCTCTTCTTGCGAGCAGCAGGTGGGTCTTCGGCGTCCACAGCATCCGTACCTTCACCACCTTACCACACCATATATATATATATATATATATATATATATATATATATATATATATATATATATATATATATATATAATTGACGATCACAAAACACTGATCATTTTTATGCGGAAAATCCACAGACAAATATGAAAGGAAGTGAACGTTTCGGCCTGTTAAAGCCTTTGTCAACACCAGATTGATGAGTCTAGTGTTGACAAAGGCTTTAACAGGCCGAAACGTTCACTTCCTTTCATATTTCTCTGTGGATTTTCCGAATATATATATATATATATATATAATATATATATATATATATATATATATATATATATATATATATATATATATATATATATATATATATATATATATATATATATATATATATTATACGTGGAACGTTTCTGTGGAACTATGTCAAAACATAGTTCCACAGAAAAAAATTAGTTTGGCGTGACAGTACATGAAGAAGGGAAGACCAACAAGTTCTTGAGGCAAGAGTCATGGAAGTAATAAGTGATAGTAAATAAATAACGCAACCTGCAATAGTACATAAGGTTGAATTGGGTTTAGTTAGGTTGGATTAAAATTGGTTATCGTTAGATTCAGCAGAGTTTGATCGAGTGACTTAGACCACTTTAGTTCTCACTCTCACAAATATAACATAAGAATTGTTCTCTAAATAACACAGCAGTTATCGAAGAATTGAGCCCTGGGATTACCGATTCGATAATCGTATAATGAACTTAATTTTGACAAATATGGAAAATAACAGAAGTTAGTAATAACGTAACTTAATAAATGTTACCAAAAAATCTAGACAATAATGAGAGTAAGGGAAGGGAACTATCAGGGATAAAGTTCAAAGCCATTACGACTATATAGCACTGGGAAGGGATCAGGATAAGGATTTGGGATGGGACGGGGGGGAAGAAATGGTGCCCAACCACTTGGACGGTCGGGGATTGAACGTCGACCTGCATGAAGCTAGACTGTCGCTCTACCGTCCAGCCCAAGGAATTGGACTAATGAGAGTAAGAAGAATTTAAGAACTCCCGAGGATGTAGAAGAGAGAGGAAGAAGAGAATTAAATAACGGATAGGAAGATGAAGGACATATGTGACAACCCGTCCTCAGGCCAGGCTCCTTACACCTGCTACCGTCGTATTCATACATGTGTATGTATTGTGTATCAAAATCAAGTTATTCTCATTTATATATTAATATTATTATGTATTAAAGGTCTATGTATAGTTAGGCGTAGGTTAGGTTAGGTGTTTGGGTTCCGTTGGCGGTTATTTGAAGTACGTGGGTGAAGCATTTGCTGAGTTGCAGTTCGAACACAAGTCTTCAGCGAAGCACTGGTCGAGAAGTGTTCGAACGTCATCAGTTGCGAGTCGTGTGTAAAGTGTTTTTCATTCATAAACGGGGGAAGGGGGGGGGGGATATGTTGGTTGGATTAACAAACATTTGGCCTTTGGTGATGAGGATTTATTGGATAATTGGTGTAGTACCTTCAGGGTTGGTGGCGGAGGGGTCGTCAAGGGTCTGAACCTCTTCATCTGGAGGAGAGTAGAATTTCAGATCGATGCCACAGTCTGCAACGGGATATTACAATTTGATAATATCTGTAATTGTAGAGTGTATCATTGTAATGACTTTATATCCATACACTCATTGACTTTATACACCCTCAGTCTCCCATACGCCCATTCTCTGTCTCCATACACCTCTAATGATCGCCTTGTGATCGAACTCACCCTGTTGTTAAAGATTCGCTACCTGGAACAAAAAAGTAGCACGGGCTATGGTGAGCCCGTAGTAGAACTCACCCGTCTCGGTGCTATTCTGAATATGCACGAAGCCTTGCCACATGCCGGTGTCCAACGCCACGTCGCTGCGTGGCAGGGGATTGAGGTTGCAGACTGTCACTGCCGGGAACACCACCACCTTCTCCTCCTCCACCTGCAGGAGTGGAGGAAAGTCACTACAGGAGTTTACCTACCTTACCTTACCTTAGTGAGTGGAGGCTCCCTCTTGGGGCAGCCCCCACGCTCTCTTTCATTTGCCACTCCGTGGGGAAAATGGCAACCGCTTAGCCTAACCCGAAGAGTTGTCTGAACGTCAGAGAAATTATTTACTATGTGACTCGAACCCAATCTAATCGAGGAGCCACGGATAGAAAACGGGACAACCTGTCAATTTAACGCTGCTGCTGTGATTGATAGTACGTCATATTTTGTCCTTTATGGGGACGTTTTGTCCTCACCTACGGCAGAAGTTTAAAATGTGGGATTGACTGTCCCTAGACTGTTTTTTTTTCAAACCTAATTTTGGCCACATATCTACGCTGAATCAACATCAGTCAAATGGATTGGAGACTGTGAGGGAGAATGGGGAGCCGAATTGGAGAGAGAGAGAGAGAGAGGGTGAGAGAGTGAGAGAGAAGCGGACTAACAAGCAGGCACTCCCCTCTCCCCCCCTCTCAAGAGATTGTAATAATATATATTTTGACCTTGGGGACTTTTACATATTGGGGCACCATTGACAAGCCGCCAATTCCTGTCCTCGTCGAGGTCGCTATTATAAGTGGCCCTCAGGTAAACTCTGGTAAATATGATTTTGTTAACAGTGTGAATGGGTTTAGGCTAATTACAAGCAAACAGTTAACTTGCTTTAATTATAGAATTGCATAGTTTAATTGACTATGATTGTTGAGAAAATTGTGCTTAAGAGCGGTACATATTGCTGAAGCTGTGAGCGTATACAAACAATGAAAAGCTTTAGCTTGAGAGAGGAGGGAGCAACAGTAAACATTTCAACACAAAGCTGAACACGCTACAAGGGATTCAAATCGAATAAGTTTAGATTTAGAAACTATTCAAGGCCTGCAGGCAGCTCCAAGCAACAGCCTGGTGGACCAAGCTCTCACAAGTCAAGCCTGACCTCGGGCCGGGCTTGGGGAGTAGAAGAACTCCCAGAACCCCATCAAGCAGGTACCGGAGCAAACACAGATTAGGAAAGAGTTTGATTGTAATATAAATGATCAGGAGAAAGCTCTCAGCCCCTATGACTATAAAATAGGATAGTTTATGCTTGGAAGACGTTGCCAAGGAAAACAGTAGACAGGATCGATGAAGTGTTTGAAGCTAAGTTAAATATATGGATGGATGTGACTGGATATAAATTACTGTCTCCCAAAGGCCAATACTAGTGTCCTTTGTTATTGCTTATCAAATGTTGATCTTTCATCTAACTCACTAGGTGACTTAATACTCATTCACAAGTGACTTTAACTTACCCCCTGTCGACCCTGAACTAACTTACGAACTTAAACATACCCACATATAGTGTCTCCCTCAGGATCAACTTACCCCTATGGTGACCTTCTTGGGGTAGGTGAGGTACTCAGCGATGACCTTGTAGTTCTGGTACGACCCCCACCCGACCATCACCACACACACCACCAACCACACCACTCTGCGGAACCACCCGCGACTCCTGCAACACCACACCGCCATAATATGGTTCATTACAGTAGGGTAGTTCATAAGACAATAGGGTGAGATCCTAAAACATTAAGATAGAGTCGTAAGGCTTGAGAGGCGGAACCCAAGAGCTGTGACTCAACCCCCCCCCCTCCTGGAAATACAAATAGGCGAGATCATAACATTGAAGAACACAACATCATAAAATTAATTTTAAGAGATCATATTAGAACATAAAATGGTAACTTGTGTTGATTCTGTTGGTGGTGGTCCATTGTTGGGCCCCTCTGACCCTCTGGTGTACAGGTCTGGGCCCCCTTGACCCTCTGGTGTACAGGTCTGGGCCCCCTTGACCCTCTGGTGTACAGGTCTGGGCCCCCTTGACCCTCTGGTGTACAGGTCTGGGCCCCCTTGACCCTCTGGTGTACAGGTCTGGGCCCCTTGACCCTGTGGTATAGGGTCCCCGAGCCCTAGGACTTACAGTAACCTGGCAATAAGAGATATCAAAACAATACAAGTGTCTTACCTGTTTAGAGGACCAATGCCGTGGGCTGTGCATGTATTCACGAACGAGTCAGTCCTGGTGCGTACCGACGATGCCTCCTGCTCGCGCTCTTTCTCCTGATGTCTCAGTATCTCCTCCGTCATCAGGGACCTGAGGGAGATCGCGGCAGCAAGAATCAGATCGTTGGAGAAACTGTGAGTTCGAGGAAGAATTTGAATGCAATAGGAATTTTAGAACTATTTTAAAGTATCAAGCTTGACCGTGAACTGGTCGTCCCTTGTGTTGTAAGTCTCGAGCTATAGCGTGATGTGACCACACCCACTGTTCTCGTCTGGTTCTGCTTGCGGGGGTTGAGGTTTGGCTCTTTGGCCCCGCCTCTCGACTGTCAATCAACTGGAGTAAAGGTTCCTGAGCCTATTAGGTTCTGTCAAATCTACATTTGAAACTGTGTACGGAGTCTGCCTCCACCGCGTCACTATACCCTGGTTAATGTCACTGTTAAACTCCACACCTCACAATCACTTTCATTTTCACACTATATTATGGTCTGACTTCAAGGACAAATTTACCATGCATTTGCAAAGGATTACATTCTCTTTGGATGAGGTGGTACAGGACGTGATTGAGATAAAACAAGTGGATGGAACATAATGAATATTAGTAGGCTATTACGTCTATGAACATAAGCAGCTTAGGAACAAATCAGCTTATGTTCTTGCTGCTACTGTCTCTGTGTTGGTTCAGGGTCTACAAGTGGGAAGATTGTAATTATGTCTTAACTGGTTGTTGATTGCTGACTTTTTGATGTGTAGGACTTCACTGATGTCCAGTCTTCTTTTGTCATATATATACATATATTATATAATATAATATAATGCCGTAACTATTATAAATAGCCACATACGTAATAACAAAACATAACAGATCTCCAACCGTGTTCAGGGAAGATCCAAGAAAATTCGTATTTATTGGTTAACATTATAAAGGAATAAAATAACGTTCTACAGAACAAAACACATGTTCTAACCTTCTCGGTGGAACACAGAGGCACATGTATATATGTTGCTTAGTACTGCCAATAAATAGCCACATATGTAGCAGAAAGAATTTTTAATGTGTGGTGTTGGAAGCACGCGACCCGGTCAAGGATATTGTCCATTTGTCATGTCAATAGTCACTTATGTCGCCAGGTTGTTAATGGGGGGAAGGTCCACATGCAGTCTATAGTGACCACAGTATATGTGGCCACGAGACCTGTTGGAGGGTCTCTTGTGGCCACACCAGACCACAGGGGTGTGATATGTGTGAAGTTGTGGCCACACCAGACCACAGGGCGTGTGTTATGTGTGAAGTTGTGGCCACACCTGACCACAGGGGTGTGTTATGTGTGAAGTTGTGGCCACACCAGACCACAGGGGTGTGTTATGTGTGAAGTTGTGGCCACACCTGACCACAGGGGTGTGTTATGTGTGAACCTGTGGCCACACCTGACCACAGGGCGTGTTATGTGTGAAGTTGTGGCCACACCTGACCACAGGGGTGTGTTATGTGTGAAGTTGTGGCCACACCTGACCACAGGGGTGTGTTATGTGTGAAGTTGTGGCCACACCTGACCACAGGGGTGTGTTATGTGTGAACCTGTGGCCACACCAGACCTTAGGGAGTGCGATAAATGAGCTTGTCACGAATATATAAATTAGTGTTTATGAGGATATATTTCTCGTGTAAGTATGAGAGGTCCGGGGTGTTGACCCTCTCCCGTATCGACAGATATGTACACCCTCGCTTACGCATATTAATGGGCCTTATTATATTGCTTATATATGTTAGCCCAAGAGTGTCCTTGGTGGATCATGGTGCACGGTCAATTGACTTGAGAATGGTTCAGGACGGACCGAAACGTCGTCGTCCCTTCACCTTCTAGTGTGTGGTCTGGTCAACATACTTTAGCCATGTTATTGTGACTCCTCGCCTGCACGTACACGGTGTTGTTATACCAGAGTGCTGGTCTGGAGACCAGCTGTGAGGAGTGTGGGGGGCCATGGCCAATTCTGATAGGCGGAAGGCACGACTTTCATTGATTTCTGCCTGGCTCGTGGTAATTTCTGGTGTCCTTGAGGAATTTTCTCGGTTTGCTTCTCTTGTGTTCTTTGTTTCCTCTCTATCTTCCTTTGATATGTCTTTGCTAATGTATATAACATATTATAAGTCCCTCTGTCCCACAGTTTAAATGTTCCAGCCAGTATATAGTTCACTGGTGCATTACTCTGAAAGATTACATTCACTGGTCGATTCCTCCCTATTTGGGACTTGCCAAGCCTCCGGTAATGCTCAATATCCTTGGTTGCCTCTCGAGCCTGTATTCTCTTGAGGTTACCTGTAATCTCTTTCTTTTCATCTTCTCTTCTCCTTGGCCCTGTGTCTCCCTCTGGCTCTATCAGATTGTAAAATTTTCACTGATTTCTCCAGCTCCTGCCTCGCACAGTTCACAACCTGTTGGCTTTTTGCAGCATTTATTACTGTTACTTTAGTGATCTGTTTTCCCTCTGGCCCTTTAGCTGCTTCAGCCACTGTTTTGTCAGGTCTTGTTCCCTATTTATCTGTTATATTCACTTTGTTTTATTTGTTCTGTTGTTCTTCTTGCCTCCTCCTCGTCCTCTGATTTTATTCTAGCCTGAAGCCCATGCACATTTTCCTCTCTTTTGTAGTCTATTTTCCTCATCTAAATCCTTCAAGATTGCTACGTTGAGTTCCTCACTCTCGTCAAGGTGTTCATCTAGGTCCTTAGTGACCTCTGCCAGTCCCTCTATCTTCACTCTCTCTCCCTTTCTCACATTCCCTGTAACTGCCCTCCTCGGGAAGCTGCCTCCGCTTGTACCTCTCCTTACATCTAATTACTTGGCTTTCCTCAGCTTTCCGACCCGGAAGGCCGAGCAGACAGCACGCTGGACTT